AAAAAAATCGCCCAGCCCTAAATGGAAGTATTAATTTATTGTCTTAATCAGTACTGTAAATCCACTGGGACTGATGAAGAATGATCTGGAGTATATCACCGTATATTTCTCCGGTGTAGATGTGCGAGGTGTCGTAGTCCAGCTCCTGTCCAGACATCTCCAGCTTAAAGCCGTCTGAAAACAGCCTGGTGTCTCGCTTCATTCGCAGGTTGAAATGTCTGAGAGATGGAAACAAGCAGCAAGAAGAGATGAACACACACACACACATGACGAGAGACAGTCAGGTGAGAAAACCAGAGCTGTACAGGTCCTGATATTACAGCACAGCACTCAAACACTGATGATTCACGCTCCGCAGAGGACAAATCTACTGATTTCTATTCAGATACAAAAGCGGTCACTGGGGCGGCACCCTCGCAAAGGTACATCAGTGGACCTTCTTCAGCTCTAAACGGTGCATTTGGTACCCAAAGGACATCTATTACTACTTTTGTAAAGGTACTGCTCAAGCGACTGAAAAACCCAGAGTACAAAAGAAATAGTGTAGATTTAGAGTACAGCCATCAGAAATATTCTCTTAAAGCTTTTATGGGATTATTTTATATTACACATGACCAGCCAAATGTCAGCAGTGGTGGGTAATACGGTCTCTCCCTCTGGACACTTTAGCTGAATTTTATATACAGAGCTTGTGTGGGACAAGTGGACTTTTTGAAGGCCGTTCACTTTCTCTTAAAATGAACGGACTGGCCTCAACTAATCTGATTAAAACATCTTATTAGGGAAGCACCGAAATTTGTGCGAGAATGATTATCTCTGACTGATAGCGGCTAATCAACTGTAACAAAGGTTGTGCGGTTGAGGCTCACGCAGCCTGTCTGTGTCTGAGAGAATCAAAACAAACATAGAAGAAGCATACCACGCTAAAATGTAGTTTTTATATTTATAACAGAGCCTAGTTAAGCAACATGACATGACCAAGAGAGTGAAGTTTTCCCTGTAAACCACGACTGCAAATCTGACATCGATTTTATGCAAGAGTTCAAACGAGTAGTTAATATACATTTTAGTACAATGTAGTCAACGTTGACTGTTTTTGCTCGATTTGGCAAACAAAAATTGCTTCAAACAAAGATTACAGTCGCTCATCTCTGAGCAACACACTGGTGTTCAGTAACCCATCATAAAGACAGGCTCTTGGTTCATTCTGGAATGAGTCAGTCATCTGAACGAATCGTTTGAATGAATCCCTCAATGACTCACTCATTAAGACGGTCACTTGCTGCCACTGGTGCTTTACTTTCATATTTAAAAGTAGCCTATCTTTGCATTTTTTCTAACAATTCATATTTGTATAATAAAAAACACAAGATTTGAAACACCAAGCTCATAACATTATTTATGTTGTTGTAATTTTGCTGTGTAAATGCATTCATGCTACATTTCAGCTGCATTAAACTGTCTGTGTAAATGCATCTAATGCCACTACAGCTGCTTCTGTTTCTTCTGCAGGGGAAAGATCAGTTTGGTTAATACTGATTTTATCTGATTGCTAACAGCCCTATATTATATTAAATAAATTATTCATAAAATATAAGAATTTGATATGAAAAATTATGCATACATTTAATACAATTAGGGGAAAATGCCCTTTGAATATGCAAAAAAA